CCGCCCCGCGGTGCGCTTCCCTGGGAGAGCGGGGTCGCGGGCCGGGGTCCGCCCGCGGTGGCCGTGCGGGCACCGGGCGAGCTGCCCCTCCGAGCCGGGCCGGCACGTGACTCGCATCCGCACCTGCTCCTGAACCCGCACCTGCCCATGCACCTGCTCCTGCACCCGCTCCTGCCCCTACACCCGCACCCGCTCCTGCACCCGCACCCGCACCGAGCCGCGTGCCGGTGCTTCAGAGAGGGGCTGGGCAGAGCCCAGAGTGGCGGAGCCCTGGCCTTGGGTGCCCGCCGCGGCCCTCCCTGTCCCCGGTGTGTTGCTCTAGCTCTTACTCCTCCCTGTACACGTGAAGGAGAAACGTTGGTCACGGTCCAAAAGCTCCAGAGGGGTCTCCCCCGGCCAGTTTAGAATTCTCGTTGAGATTAGAAGCAGGTCCAAGTCACCAAAGGTAAGGTGCTTGTGGATTGGTTTGTTTTAGTTTGACAGTAAAGGCATCTTACAGCCTTTTCACAGTGTACGCAATAAAGTTCCTCCTCTATTTATTTACTGAGTTTTCTGCAGGTATACAGACAAATGTTTACACGGATGATGATCAGCGTGTGTAGAAATGCAGCATTTTGGAAGACCAGAATAACCAGCTCAAGTCTGCAATTCTGTTGAGGAGAACAGAAAAGGAACTAAAAGCCCAGTGAGGGAACCTCTCTGCAGTCCATGAACACGGGCCCTTGGGAGCAGGGACGTGAACCCCAACGGCGCATTTGGCTGTGGGTGGTTATTAGGGAAAGCCGGGTAGAGAGAACAGTCGGGTTCTTCTTAACTGTGGGGGAGTGGGGGCAGAGGCTGGACTCCAGGATCAAGTCCAGGTCCTACCACTGCCTCAGGGGCCTGTCTTTAGGGCAGCCAGCTGACAAGCCCCTCACCCTGCCTGTCAGCTAAATACCAGGTAGTGTCCAAAGGGGCATCTGTTCACAACTAAGTAAGAATCACCTGTGTGCTTTCTAGGGATTCATCCTTGATAACAAATATGTGCATAAAGGTTTTGTATCTGTTTCTGTGTAACAAACCACTCCAAAATGGAGTGACTTAAAACAGTCATTTAACTGTTCCCAATTCTGTGAGCCAGCAACTTGTGCTGGGTTCCATTGGGATGGCTGTCGCACATAGGGGCCATGTGTCACCCGCCATGGGTGGGCTGGCCAGAGGTACTTCAAATGGTGGCTGGTCTCCACCAGCAGCAGGAGAGAGGGCAGACCCCAGTGCACAGTGCTTTGCCTCTGCTGGCATCCTGGTTCTTCCTGTCTCACTGGCCAATGGAAGTCAGTGGGGCCTGGGCGGCTGGGCCCGGGCTGCACAGGGGCCTGGACAGAGGGAAGCAGGGTTCATCGTATTTGTCACTGTGGCAGGCTTCCAAGGCCTTTGTTCAGTCATGGTTTGTCAGAGGGAAAACAAGGTAACTACCTGTCAGTAGGAGCTGGTTATTCAACCTTCATCCTCCTTGTCCCTTAGCAGCAGTAAAGAGAGAGAATGGTGGCTGCGACGAAGACCTTTACACTGCTCTGCAGAGACGAGCAAAGGGCCTGTGATTGTCCTTTCCTATTACACTACCTCAGACACCGTCCTTGCCACAGAGACCGTGTTTATCATGGAGTTCTCCCTGACTTGGAAGAACTGCACACGGAACATACCTCTTTGTGCTAATGTCGAGAGAAGGCCATTTCCAGTCCCCCAGGGCCACTCCTGGAGCATAGGGATGCCCAGAGAGGCACCCGTGAGGTCAGGGTCTTTGGGGAGGAATCCTAGTCTCCTGAGGAAGGCCCAAGGAAATTGCAAGGACATCTAAGCCGTCTGCCTGCTGTTCACTGTTGACATCAAACACCTGGGTGCCTGGAGTGGGACCTGGGTGGCCACAGAGGTGCTGGCTGCCATGATGGGGATGGCCCGCGGCTCCCTGGCCTTCCGTGCGGGGAGCAGCATGCAGGCGCTGGTCCTATTGTTTACCATCTCACTCATGCAGACCATCAAGAAGCGACATCAAACACCTGGGTGCCTGGAGTGGGACCTGGGTGGCCACAGAGGTGCTGGCTGCCATGATGGGGATGGCCCGTGGCTCCCTGGCCTTCCGTGCGAGGAGCAGCATGCAGGCGCTGGTCCTATTGTTTACCATCTCACTCATGCAGACCATCAAGAAGAATATCACTTTGGTGTCCTGGAACAAATGTGACATTCAGACGCTTGAGCATGGGAGTCTAGCTAGGTTCCCTCTGCCCCAGTGATGTGGGGTAAGGTTTTATATAGTAGATGAAACAACTGCTGGGAAACGTCTGCACAACTGCGGAAAACCAATGTGGCCACTTTTTCCTTTCAGTTGATTTAAGTGGCACGGCCTTGTAACTATACCCCTCAGCAGAACTAGAAATCTCTCTAGGTACTACAAGTGCCTGCAGGATATGGTGGGGTGAAATGACTTCTAATATCTTAGGATAGAAACTTCCCGCAAACTTAAGAGGTGAACCTAGTGTGGATTTCAGACTGGTCTCTGGACCCCTCCTGGGAACAGCCAGAGGAGGGGAAGGTGCCAGCCTTGGAGCAGTCCAGCTGCCAAGCCCCTGTACGTGCACAAATGCACAAGGCCTCAGGAGAGCCTTCCATCGAAGGAGGTGCAAGGCCTGCCGGTGGAGGAGCCACCCATCTGTCAGTGCCCTGGCTCTCCCACACAGGAGCTAGCAGAGGGGGTCACATGACCTGAGCACAGGACTGCTGCTGTCCCTGAGCAGGGGGGCCTTTCTGGCCTTTCTAGGCCCTTGGCTGACCCACCCCCATCCCCCTTTGTCCACATTGTCCCCTCCACACAGGGTGATTCCTGTGATTCAATTTCCATCTTCCAAATAGCAGAGCACATTCCCGACCCATTTTGCTGAGACTAGCTCAGGTCATGGTCATGTTATACTCAGACTGTGACTGGCTGCACCCTTCAAGTATGTGGATCTCAGTAATTCAATTATTTAACTCCAAGGACACTTTTTTCTTGTTCTTTTGAAGCCTGTTTCACTGTAGTCCTTGTGTACAACCAAAATGTCTGAAAAAAATGTTTATTGCTTTGTTTTATTCTGCCCAATCATTTTGAGAAGAGACACTCAAAGGTACTTTTACATTATAGTCTAAAGTAGATTATTGATTTCTTTGCTTCTAGAAAAAGTCAGGAAGATAAAACTGCTAATGAGAGGTAACCAATATTCTGTGACACATTTATTTGAGAGATAATGTTTTTTGTCCTATATTAAAAAAAAAAAAACGAGACTGGAGTGGCGAGAGTCAGATGGTGCTAAGCCATTCGGTCAACAAATTGCCAGGGTAGTGGACACTGCATATGGACAGCTCATGATGTGCCCCCTTCTCTGAGGCCCCCAACAAGGGCAAGGCCACATGGTCACAGGATGGACCAGGAGTTGCGTGGCTTGTGCTGTGTAGTGTGCACACACCTGCCACTCCCGGCCCTCCCATGACTGCATGAGGAATGTGAGTGGTATCGAGACAACCTTAGTCTCTCTGTGCCTGGACCTGGAAGGTTTAAATCCAGAAGCAGTTGGGAGGATCTTCCTCCCTTGCCATGTACACCCATCGGTGAAGCCAGGCTGAAGAGGGAATGATGGGGCAGACCACAGAGGCAGGAAATGAGAGCATTTCCATGCCATGGGCAGTGTCCCGCATGTGGGTGAACACATGACTAAGAAGGTGTCTTTGTTTCCAAGTTGTTCATAGTCCAGGAGATGGTATCACGTGCAGCGTGGGGTGATTGCGGGAAGACGGTCTGTTCTAACTCGTACGGCATCAGGGTCAGACAGGGCCACCGGCTGCACCACGCAGCAGCCGTGGGACTGGACATGTCATTGACCTCTCTGAGCCTGTCCTTCACCTGCAGAAGGGAGAATTGATACACACTCAGGTTGGCCCATGCCCGATGGGCAGTTTGGCTCCAGGGGTAAGAACAGGGGTTCCTTGATGGGAGGGGGATGTGGGGGTCCAGAAAACTGCAGCTCGCTGCACTCAAGAGGGTCAGACAAGCTGCTGGAAGCCGCAGCTCTTGAGCTGGGCCTTTAAGGATGAGCAAGCGGGGGTGGGGGTTACCACGTCATGGGAAGTCAGAGGAGAGGACTGTTCTGTGAGGACTGGGCCACTTGGTTCTTCTGCCCTCTCTAAACCCCAGGGAGGTGGAGCGTGCTGAGGGGTGAGCCAGAGGAGTGAAAACAGGTCCACTGAGGCCCATGGCCCATTCTTGTACAAGTCCACAAGCTGAGAACGAAGTGTGGGGTCTGGGGCAGTGAGGAATATGCGACAGGTTTACGTGGCCCACAATGCCTAAAATGTTTTCTCCCCGGTCCTTTACAGAAACAGATTGCCAGCCCCTGGTTTAAGCCAAGGAGGGTCTATTCTGGAGTGGGAGTTAGGCCAGCTGATATCCTGTCTGAGGGGGAGGAAAGAAATGCACTCTTAAATCGCCACCATTGGGGATTGAAGAGGGGCTTGTCAGGCACCCTGCAGTGTCAGCCCCAAGGCTAGTGAGTGCATACACCAGGCTGGGTGCAGAGAGTGTAACGGATCAGGGGTAACCATGGCAATAAGACTTAGTGACGGACTGGGCAGGAGGGGCTTGGGAGGGGGAAGAATCAAAACTTGCACCTGGGATTCTGGCTTGCACATGTTGCAGGACAAGATGCTTTGTAATGAGATGGGAGAAGATTGGAAGAAACCAAGAATTGGGTCTGCGATAGGCATCACATGTCCACTGCACAGGAAAGATTGGTGTCCAGAGAAGAGGCCTGTGCTGGGGATATACATTTGAAACCCATGAAAATGGAAGAGATCACTGATCACCAAAGGAGAGAATGGAGAGAGAAAAGAGAACTTACCATTCGAACCGGGTGCAGAAAGAGGGATGAGCATGGGAGACTAGGAGAACCCAGAGAGGCAGAAGAAAACCCAGAGAAAAGTGTTTCTGGAAGAAAAGATAACTTGGTAAAACGATGAGAGTCTAAATAAAGTGAGGACAGAAAGTCAACTGGATTTGGCAACACAGAGGTCATAGTGACCTTGAGAAGTTCAGTGGAATATTGGGGATGGAACTAACTAGAAAGAAGAAACACTGTGCGCACCTCATGTACTAGCATAATCTCAACTTCAGAAACTGCAGAATGGCATGAGGGAGAAAAATGTGGATCAGCCTCACTCGTAAACAGAATCCTGAATGAATATAGAATCCTGAACAGAACACTCAGCAAAGCAAAATCCAGTGATGTATAAAAGGGTAACAGAAACATTATGACCAAGTTGAGTTTACCCAAGAATATAACTGAATTACACTTTAAAGTCTCTTAATGTAAATCACCACATCAAAAAATTGAAGAACATCTGTACGATCATCTCCACAGATGCAGAAAAAGCTTTTAATAA